CTAATGACATCCTAGCATGAAATCTGACACATTGCAATGCATAAAAAAGATGTACTTGCTGTTTTTAGTACCGCCATGGTTTTGTGCCCTAGAAGCACAGGAATTCTCATAAATCTTGTACATTTCCAATCAAAAGAAAAAAATGTAGAGGGGTTTATAGTTGTATATGCTGCTGCATTGTTCAGTATACTTCTGAAAAGAGAGAATTTCCATTTTGACTAGGATTTGATAAGGATCAAATCTTTTCCTTATGCTTTATGCTTTTCCTACTAAGTATATTAGTTTGCTATTGTTGCATAACAGATCACCACAAACTTCGAGTCTTAAAACAATACATCATGTTTATCTCACAGCTTGTATGAGTGAGGAGTCCAGCTACAAACTGAGTCTTTTGCTCAGGGTTTCACTGGATTATAATCAAGGTGCTTGCCAGACTGTATGCTTATCTGGAGGTTTGACTAAGGAAGAATCCACTTGTAGGCTTTTTCAGGATGCTGGAAGAATTCATTTCTCTGTCTGACTGAAGGCCCTAGCTTGTTACTAGCTGTCCATTGGGGGCTGCCCTCAGGTCCTAGAGGCTGTCCACAGTTCTCTGCCACATAGCTCTCTGCAAAGGCATTTTACAATATGGCTGTTTGCTTAAGGGCGAATTTCTCACTTCAGTTTGCTAAGATAGTCTTATATAACGTAATGTAATCACAATACTGATATCCTAGCACCTTTGCTTGCTAACATAACTTGATCAAGGAATGACATCTTATTAATTTGCCGTAGGCAAAATATGATGGAAAGCAAGTCACAGGTTCCAATCATGCTCCAAGAAAGGGGATTATATAAGAGTATACCTTATTGGGAATCACCTTTGGGTGTACATGTACAATAATTTTCCACGGAGAAGCTTCTGTACATTTTGTTTTCTTCTCACCACTTACATAGTTCTGTTGCCATATGTCTAGACACATTCATATCATGATATGACCTCTAGCCCTACACTTTCCTGTCACTATGCCAGGTAAGTCACTATAGTAGGTATTTTTTCTAGTGTTATACCTGGAAGTTTCTTGCAATGGTTAGCAATGACCTAGCATAACATGAAAGCGACCAGGAATCACTCACTATCCCTCTAGAGTCAATCTAAAGATATTCTTAATTCAAATTCCCCTTGGCTGGGTCCCAAAAACACACATGGCCATCTCAATACCACTTCATTTCAGGGGAAGGGTGACAGAAGGAAAGTGAGAGTGGAAAGAGATAGTCTTAACCAATTGCAACTAAAATTTTTTTTTGTTGTGGATTTTATAAAAACATGTGACCACGTGAAAACATATTTTCCAGGGCCCCAAGAGTGGACTGAAATAAGTGAGGAATTTGGAAATTAAGTTTCATGAGCTTTATAGGAAATCCATTTCAAGTTGGCATTTATTTATTAACTTACTTGATAATTGTTCTCTGAATCTGAAGTGATGACCAGGATTTTAAAACATGTCAACATTCTTATCCAATGAACTAGTTATAAATAAATGAAGAAAAAAACAGGAGCCAAGAGTTCCCAAGAAACTAAGTAATCAGGCAGAGCCTACCCACTATACATCAGATAAAGATTCTAACCACTAGAGTTTAACATATGTGGATTTAATTTATGAAAAACAATGAAAATCCATTCCTTTCCCTTAGAGCAGCATTTATTGTGCAATCATTGTGTTTCAGAGCTTCTTTTAGTTTTTTGCATTGTATTTAAGTTATGTGCTACTTAAATTTGTGGCACATATAGTCTAAATTTTGTTTTGAAAAGTTAATTGGTGATTGTGGCCGGTACTGCAGTTTTCTGACCAAAAAGGTCAGAAAAAGGTCTCTTTTCCTTTCTTCTTCCTCCCTATCCCAAAAATAAAAAAATAGAAAAAGCCTTCAATTTTTTTTAGTTATCAGATTGCTAAGTGTTCACAGAAATGGAGCCCTGTCCCACAAGACAAATTATTCCCTTAAAGTGTTCAGGGTAATCTTCTTTGCTAGTGATTTGTTTAGGGTCAGTCATGTGTCCCAGTTCTAGCCAATTTAAGGGGAAGTACTGAGAGTTATGGGAAAGAGAGATTCATAATGAGAAGTGACCTTTTCCTTCTGCCTTTGACCCCTAGAATGGTGACAGCCAACTTCTAGTCAGAAAAAAGAAAGCCTAGTATAATCAGAGAAGCTGAATCGAAGCTCTGACTTAACTGATTCTGCATGCCTACCTCTGGACATCCTATAACATGAGATGGAAAAATGCCACTTCTAGTTTGACATTTTTATTCCTTACAACAGAACCCCTCCTAATAGAAACAATGATGTATAAAATAAAAGTCAGACAAACACACACACATGTAACCTTTATTCTGTTTTGTCTTAATACACGCACAATATGAGTTTATTTTGGTAATTTGGAATTACAGGAATTCACAAGGAAGAGATTTTTAAGAAATCACGTAGATAATTATATTAACAGTTTTTGTATATATTTATCTATTGCTACTATGCATACATTTTATATAACTTTTAAAGTTAGACTAATTGTTTTAAACTTGATTCCTAATAATCATAAAAATAAGCAAGATTAGATTGAATCTGTTTTTTTCTTTTAAAATTTCTTTTATTCATATAAGCACAATGTATAGTAATTAGAAAAGCCCAAGGCATTGGTTCAATGTAGGAAAGTGGACCACAGGTAAAATAGATGGAGTTCTAGAAGTATTTTAACTGCCTAAAAATATTATCTGTTTATGACTCCCACCTAAGTTCTAAGACAAGGTCACTCTCAGGAAATTTCAAACTCACTTATGCTATGTTCCCTGGTAGATAATGTTTGTGGTACCTTCCCCAGAGTATTTTTTTAGCTACTATATTTCTATTGAATAGGCTTAAATTGAACTAATGTAGACTTTGTTAAATTTACTGTCATTAATGTCACTCCTGTACTAAACTGAATTGCTAAAAGAAATTCCATTTTTAACTAGTTTTATAAGCTAAGGAAGAGAAACAAAGATAGAATCTCAAATATCTGATGTGTTAGACTGACTCTGTAGAACATTTCCTTTTTTACAAGGAGTCCTCACCTTTTATTATAATAAGACATAAAATAAATGATTGTAGTATCAAATATGAAATATTGTCTGTTGAGTGGATTATCTTTAATTTCAAAGCCATATTTTTCTTTTGTGCTATAAATTTTAGTTTATACATTACATTATAATATATAATTATACATTATAATTTATGGACCACAAAATTCATATAGAATAATTATTTCTGTTATGTTTTTTATTACATATTGAACCTTAAGAGAGTTTCTTGGTTTGAAAACAATAAGCATATTGAAGCAATCTTGTTTCAATATTTACATTTTTATGTTTGCATATAAACTGATGAATAGATTCTGTTATATTTTTACTGTAATAGACTTTTTTATGTATATACAAAGTCAACTAGGACTTCTTAACCTTTTTTTGTGCTATGAGCTGCTGTGGCAGTCTGGTCCATCCCTCTCAGGATTGTGTTTTTAAATGCATAAAATAATACAAATAGGACTAAAATTAAAAAATACAACTCTCTCTCTCTCTATATATATATGTGTGTGTGTGTGTATATATATATATTTTTTTTTGCATGGAATGTAGGTTAAGAACCCCTGAGTCAAGATTTTGAATAGCCCTTCAGTTAATGTGTAAAAAAATATGCTCGAGGCAATTCCTAAGAGAGATCCATGAGCACACAAGAAGAACCAAGCTGAGATACATTCATTAAACTTGTGTGTGATAAAGCCCTTAGACTGTATCTGTACAAGTGTGTTATTTTTGCTTTTAAATCCCAGAAGTAAGAATTATCAGTTAAGGAAAACGTATATGATAGAGACTTAGAGAACATTGGTTTTGTTTCAACTTATCTACATCCCTGTGTTATCTACGAGAACTATAAAATCTTAGAATGAGTATACATGCCAACTTTGAGCATTTTAGCACACTACAGAATTTTAGCCTTGTCCAATTCAACTGTAGAACTGGACCATGAATTGGTTAATTAAAGGTACGAGTTTAATGAAAAAGAAGCTATGAATGAAAGAGTGAGTACGCAGAGGGAGTTCAATTGAGACAGAATGGAAAATAAGGTAGGATGTGAAACAAACAACAACTCAACACTGTAAAACTGAAGTATGAGAGGAGAAAATCAAAGAAAGAAAGGACTTACCATTAGTTGGCAATTTACTTTCCACAATACCACACACCTGGAGTATTTAGAAATTACATTTCATCTTTTGTGTGGCACTACATAGCTCATGTAAATATGATAGTATCTTACCTATTTAAAAAATGTTGAATAGCTTAATTTCTTCTAAGACTCTTATCATGTTTTTCACATTAAATGGGTATTATACTCCCATTATTTTCATCCCTTCCCATTTTTCATAGAAGAAATAGACACAAGCCTGAATTATATAAAGAGGTCTTGTTGTGCAGACATATTTTGGAAACCATACTATTCAATGTGAATATCAGTAGGTGTTAGTTGTGCCACGGGCTGCTGTGGCAGTCTAGTCTATCCCCTTAAGATTGTGTTTTTTAAATGCACAAAATAATACAAATAGGAGGGAAATAAAAATATTACATGGAAATATAGCGTTGTGCATAGACTGCAGGTTAAGAAACCCTGCATCAAGATCTTTCCCTCCTTCCCCCAACACGCTCTGTCTTCTTTGATCTGTACAGACTGAAGCTGTAGTTTTCTCTCCAGAGTTCCTTTTATGTATCAAGCATCTTTTTGCTTGTGCATTTGCTTAATTTTGTTTTCATTTTTCTCAGTTATTTACGAAATATGGATTTAGTGAGATCAGGGGATAGACAAAAAATTCTTCACATTATTAAAATAGAGGGCGTATTATGCATAGAGCATACTCAGTATGAGTATTTTCTTAGTTGAATTTGGAAACATTGTTATTTTACGGCAGTTAATTGCCACAAACTCCATAGACTATACAGCCTAGAGAGGAATGTTCTAAACCCCTGTCCAAATCCTAACCCCTCTAAAATTTCCCTTTATATAGAGGCACTTCACAACCTGTACCACATAAATAGGATGAAGGAGAACTACTCATGGTCTTATCAGGTTGGTGGAGTGGTTGGTGGGGTTGGTGACTGACTCCTCCAAATGTCGGAATGCTTTTGAAGCCAAAGAGAAAAACAGATCCATTTGTTTTTTTTTTTTTTTCGTTTTAACTACAGGAGGGAAAGTTGATCTTATGGGCAAGGGGCTCTGTGCTCTATGTACTATATAGCATAAAACTCTAATTGCTAATATGCCCCTTTTGGAGAAAAACTCACCAAAGCATGCAGAGTTTAGACCTGTGTTGTGGTTTCTCGCCTTTGATTTTTTGGCATTCTTGTGCCTTAGGCTGCAGGTATTTTAAATATTTGTACATTATTATGTGAAGAGAAAGTGATAAGAAACCTACATAATGTGTTATATGAGGTCAGAAAAGGCAGAGATTAATTTAGAAGTTGATGATGACAAGAAAATATTTTAGCATTTTTCCTGAAGATTTTTCCTTAATAATTGAGGCTCTGAAAATGGAGGTTCTAAAAGAATGACAACTTAAGTGTAAATCCTGCTTTGTTTGTATGTAAACATGCTCTAACATTTGTGTTGATATTCCCAGATGGAGAGATTCATGACCTTACCCTTCTTCATATGACTTCTTGTGTAGTCTATCAATCACAGAGAAAAATATCCATAGATAAGTGGATCAAAGCATGGGTTTAAAAAGGCAAAGAGAAAGAAGAAGTGATTTACTGGGTCTGACACCCTGTTTAACATTTCAGGATCAAACCAATACCAAATTCCTAGGACATAGTAGGGAGTCCAGCAGACAGTGAATGAAGTGGCAAATGCAACTGTCATTTTTAGAGTCTTCAGCCGTGCTCTTGGTATATTGTTCTTGGACTGATTCAGTTGTAGTTCTATTGGATAGAGAAAAGAGCAGGTGTTTAAAGATCAGTTTTCTCACGAAACCAAAGTGGACAAAAAGGAAAACAGCATCACTAATTCAACTTAATCAATGGGAGAGAATTTCCAGTATTTTAAATAATAATAATTTGTTTGAAAAGCATGTTTTAATGAGAGTTTTCCACTATGTCACATAATGAATAGAAAATATTGAAGACGATAGTGCTCCTATTTCTGCCAAACTAATCTGAATTTGAAGTATGGGATACTCAAACTCTTAACATATAAATTTAAGAGAGTAGATGAGGTTGAGCTCAGTTGAATTCTTTTTAAAAAAAATATTTTTTTTTATTTTAATAGGTTTTTTTGGTGGGCTGATGGTGTTTGGCTACATGAAAAGTTCTTCGGTGGTGAGTTCTGAGATCTCTGTGTATGCTGTACCAAATGTCTAGTCTTTTATCCCTTGCCATCCCCCCTTAGTTTCCAAAGTTCAGTGTATCATCGTTATGCCTTTGCATCATCATAGCTTAGCTTCCACATATGAATGAGAACATATGATGTTTGGTTTTCTATTCCTGAGTTACTTCACTTAGAATAATAGTCTCCAATTCCATCCAGGTTGCTGCAAATGCCATTATTTCATTCCTTTTTTATCACTGAGCAGTATTCTATAGTACATATATACCACATATTTTTATACATTCATTGATTGATGGGCATTTGGGCTGGTTCTATATTTTTACAATTGCAAACTGTGCTGCTGTAAACATTCCTATGCAAGTATCTTTTTCATATAATGCCATTTTCCCCCCCGGGTAGATACCTAGTAGTGGGATTGCTGGATCAAACGATGGTTCTACTTTTAGTTCTTTAAGGAATCTCCACACTGTTTTCCATGGTGGTTGCACTAGTTAACATTCCCACCAACAGTGTAGAAGTGTTCCCTTTTCACTGCATCCCTGCAAACATCTATTATTTTTTGATTTTTTGATTATGGCCATTCTTGCAGGAGTGAGGTGGTATCACACTGTGGTTTTGATTTGCATTTCCCTGATCATTAGTGAGGTTGAGCATTTTCCCCTATGCTTCTTGGCCATTTGTATATCTTCTTTTGAGAATTGTCTATTCATGTCTATTTGATAGTATTGTTTGTTTTCTTCTTGCTGATTTGTTTGAGTTCTCTGTAGATTCTGGGATTAGTCCTTTGTCAGAAGTACAGATTGTGAAGATTTTCTCCCACTCTGTGGGTCGTCTGTTAACTTACTGATTATTTCTTTTGCTGTGCAGAAGCTTTTTAGTTTAATTAAGTACCATCTATGTATCTTTGTTTTTGTTGCATTTGCTTTTGGGCTGTTAGTCATGAACTCTTTGCCTAAGCCAATGTCTCAAAGGGTTTCCAATGTTATCTTCTAGAATCTTTATGGTTTCAGGTCTTAGATTTCAGTCTTTGATTCATCTTGAGTTGATTTTTGTATAAGGTGAGAGATGAGGATCCAGTTTCATTCTTCTACACATGGCTAGCCAATTATCCCAGCACCATTTGTTGAATAGGATGTCCTTTCCTCACTCTATATTTTTGTTTGCTTTGTGAATTCTGACTTCAAAACAAAATTATGTTCACTGAGTATCTTTGATACTAAGGATAGTAAGTATCATGTGTGGATGAAAGTGTACTACCCCAAATTATCTATCTCAACTGTGTGCTTCTTTCTATGATAGCTGAAATAATTTCACTTTTCATATTAATAGAGCCTTTAAAGTTCATAGGTTACACTTGTGAAGAAATTTGCTGGAAATTAATGGAATTACTGACTTTTTACAGTCAGGCTGCCTACCTGAAATTTTGAACTTAGTTCTTAAAGGTAAAAAGGTGCAATTCTGAAGTGCTCAAAATCTGTTCTTGTATTTCATAATAGAGAACTTCTGTGTTAAGTAAGAAATACTCTTCACATACTATTTTTTTTTTTTGAGGGAAACAGATAATGCTATTCAGAAATAGTCATTTTGAAATTTCTTATTAATTGGTCACCAAAGAGTGGACATATAGAGGAAAACATTTACCTGCATGCTGTTTTAATTATGAAATTATTTTTTGTCTAGAAATATTAAAGTAATTTATTAAATACAGACTGATTATGGATTTTTGGGAGACAAAACTAATTACTATTTACTCTGTGCCTTGCTAGAGGCTTTGCTCTTTTCACATACTATTCATTTTTTTTTTTTTCAGACAGAGTTTCGCTCTTGCTGCCCAGGCTGGAGTGCAATGATGCAATCTCGGCTCACTGCAACCTTTGCCTCCGGGTTCAAGCGATTCTCCTGCCTCAACCTCCTGAGTAGCTGGGACTACAGGCATGTGCCACCACACCCGGCTAATTTTTGTGTTTTTGGTAGAGACAGGTTTCATCGTATTGGTCAGGCTGGCCTCGAACTCCTGACCTCAGGTGATCCACCCGCCTCGGCCTCCCACAGTACTGGGATTACAGGCATGAGCCACCGCACCTGACCTTCACACACTATTCATTTAATCCTCAATACCTGTAAACTTTGGTGACACATCCATTTAAAATTCAGAAAATCATCTTGGCTTAGCAAGTGACTGAAAATGAAAAAATATCAAGACAACCACAACATGTCATGCTTTTTCTTCTTTTGAAACATCATCACAGTCGATAATTGATTTATTGTTTATGACTTTTCTGCTAGACTGTAGTCTCCATGAAAGCAGGATACTTACTAGATTTTTCTTATTCACCATGGTATCCCCACCTAGCACAGTTTCCAGCAACGCTGAGTAGTCAGTATGTATTAATCAAATAAATAAAATAATAAATAAATGTGTTCGTAATAGTTATGGCTTCCTGCCTCTGCTTTTTTTGTTTTTCTGCTTATGTACTGCTAATATTTCTTCAGATTAACTCCTATTTGAGATTCACCTTCTTATTTTCCCTCTACCCTTCTTAGATATCACTTATAAAATGGAATCTCTCAAGATAAGATTTTGAAGGCAAATTGTTTTTGCAGTATACTTTTTTGGAAATATTAAATACCATTTTGTGCTGGCAGGTGAAAACTGCCCAATTCCCTATTAGAAAGCATCACCATGAATATTTTCTTTTGAAAATACCTACTGAGGCCGGGCGCGGTGGCTCAAGCCTGTAATCCCAGCACTTTGGGAGGCCGAGATGGGCGGATCACGAGGTCAGGAGATCGAGACCATCCTGGCTGACACGGTGAAACCCCGTCTCTACTAAAAAAAAAATACAAAAAACTAGCCGGGCGAGGTGGCGGGCGCCTGTAGTCCCAGCTACTCGGGAGGCTGAGGCGGGAGAATGGCGTGAACCCGGGAGGCGGAGCTTGCAATGAGCTGAGATCCGGCCACTGCACTCCAGCCTGGGCGACAGAGCGAGACTCCGTCTCAAAAAAAAAAAAAAAAAAGAAAATACCTACTGAGACTATTCATGCTGTAATAGTTAAGATGATTTCCCCGTTAAGTTGTACCAGATATAACTTATGTACTATGTCATTGATAACATGTCTTTTGGATGTCATGCCAACATAACAATGTTTATTTCATAAATATATACTTTATTTTTGGGAATGCACCATTTTACTAAAGCAAAAAAGGTACAAACACATGTGTGAAGTTTTGAATGAAATCATCAATTACATAGTCAATAATATTTCGCATATTAACATACACACAAATGTGCATAGTTTACATTGTATAAATATAGGGGATTTGAATATAAAATGAAACAGCTTACTTTAGCTAGTTTATTGGATAGCATTTAACAGGTTGTACTTTTCTATAGTCTAGATATCACAATTTGTACTTGCTACCCAGCAGAAACCATTTGCCAATGCTTATCCTGGGTCTTAATGGAATAATCATTAATTCTTCTTTAATTTCATGATGCAAATGTAGAACAGCAGAAGATACTAAGTTACCTTATCTGTAAATTGAGGATGATAAAAGCATAATAAAAATGTTACCTTATGGGGTGATTGTGAATATTAAATGAGCTAGTATATACAAACTGCTTAGAACAGTATCTGGCACATAGTTCATGCCACTCTGTGTTGAGTATCACTGTTGAAAAACTGCCCACAAATGACACTAAATCTAAGGAATACATACTGTGGGGATCCTGATGAAGGACCCGTGTCAGGGTGAAGATGATTTTTGCATTGCAGATCAGCATGATGAGAAGAGGGATGATGAAGAGGCAGCCGAAGGTGAAAAAGTTATAAAATGCTTGATGCCACCATTGTGGAAAACTGCAGTGTGTTACACATTGAGAGAAAACTTTTGTCTGTCCGGAGCTGTCTGCTAGATGAATCATCCTGAAGATGTATAACTGTATGAGACAATAAAAAGCTATGTTACTTTTTACCAAATGGTATTTGAAAGTTTTCTCTTTGGTACTCCGCTAGCCTTCTAGCATGTTACCTAAAGCAATTTCTAAGTTCCTTAGTATTGTATTTCTGATGTTTCTATGAAAAGTCATGTGACTATTTACTTAAAATATGTTTGGGTAAGTGTCAATAGATCTACAAGATTTTGGATTTTTAGCAATTATTTCAACCTTGAAGAATAATCATCTTTCAAGGATTTAAATGTTGTTTGTATTTCAGTTTCCAGTACAATTATGCTGAGTAAACTTTTCGCAAGTGATTTTGCTCATAAGTTATATCTGCAGTAACTATAACTGTGTCTGGCACTTAGAATGTACCCCCCAAAATACATATTTAAATTTTATTTTAGAGACAGAAACCCTATTAAAATGACATTTTAAGAAATGGTCACAAGACATGAAGAGACAGTTGCTCAAAGAAAGATGGAACATGTCAAAACAAAAAGCAAACAAAAAAACAACCGAGGAACCAGCTGAAAAGAGCTTCCACTTGCCAAATCTGGGGCAGTTTAAGCATTAAAATACAAAAAAGAAACTGATCTAAAAGAATGATAAACTATTGAATAAAGTAAGGATCCATGAGCCCATACTTGTAAAAATTACAAAATAACAAAAACAACAAATAAATGGGGGAAAAAAACCTCTTCCATAATGTAGAATACCAACTAATAAATGAAAAGGAATAAACAGAATTAGTGATTAACATTTGGTAATCACTATAATAAGTGATTACAGCAAGAGTCATCAATAGCTGGTAAAAATAGTGGGTGGAACTTTGAGGAGAACAGGATATTTACAAAATCTCAAAGTATCAGTCTGCAGGATACTTATTCATTATAAGGAATAAAATAATCACTCTACAGAAGAGAAATATCTAGATAAGTATGTTAACATTGCCAATAATAGGACCCATTGACAATGTCTGTCTCCTTATGTAATGCATTGAGAACTGAGCATCACTAATTTGGTATTTTTGCTTAAAGTGTATAACCTGAATCTAACCTTGAGAGGACAAATCCCAACTGAGAGACATTTTACAAAATGACTGGTTTGCACTCTCCAAAAATGTCAATATCACGAAACACAAAGAAAGACTGAGAAATGGTTCCAGCTATAAGAATACTAAAGAGGTATGCAACTAAATCCACCACATAATCTTGGATTTTCTTTTGTTAAAAGGGCAAAAATTAAACTGGAACAACTTATGGGCTCTGAATAGAACATATAAATTAAATAGTGGTAATATATCAATGTTAAATTTATTTTTTATTTTGACAATCATTACTTTGGCTGTGTGTAAGAGGCCTTAAACACACTTCGAAGTATTCAGGGGTAAAGAAAAATCATGTCTACAACTTATTTTTAAGCAATTGGGAAAATGTAGATAAGATAAAATAAGCAAATGTAAAATGTTAATATTTGAGAAAATTTGGGTGAAGGTATCCGAGAAATCTGTATGATTCTTGTAACCTTTCTTTGAGTGTCAAATTATTTTTAAAAAGCCTTTATCCTACAACTTTTAAAAACACAAACTGAATTAACAATTAAGAAAATGTTACACAAGTAGTTTTTAAAAATAAATTCTAGTGGACATTTACTCATTATTTCTCTATTCAGTAAACACTTCTTACCTAGTTATTTATAAGCTTTTTCCCTGAGAACTTTCATTTTACTGTGAAACACTATTAAAATGAAATGAAAAGAGAGTGTAAGCATTTTTAAATTGATAGAAAGTAAATTCAAACAAAAATGTTACAATTTTTTTATTTTAAACAAATGAGGGATTCTGTTATTTTTTAAGTTTTTGATTGAATTAGAAAATTTTAATTTTAATTACAGTATTAAGAAACATGATTCTTTTCTACGCTACCAACAAAAAACACTATAAAATATTTTAAAGATACTTTATTTTCTAAAAAAGAGACATACTCCGCTCCCATTCCCATCACCTCAAAAGGGAAAGAAACCTTGGCCCTGTTAAATAAGTTGAAAAGTTGATTTTTAGTTTCAGATCTTTTTTAATCTTCAAGGGGAAAAAATGATTTTAAATTAACCCACGAGAGGGCGTCTAATAATTTTACAATCAGTCTGCAGTCAAGAACCCCCAACAAGTGCATTCAGCTAAGTTTATCTTATGATTCAGACGTTTTTTCCCACATTACAAAGTGAACCTTTCAGTTTTCTGTAATTCTTTGCAAGCTGACCTTCTTTAAAGTTCAGCTTTGAATTAGATCCAACAAAGGCTGTCAGTTAAAGTCTTTGGAATGGTTACTTCATGTAGAACCCGAGAATCTTATATTTCTTTAAGGTTTTAGCTACTTCTCTCTGTACCATCCCAGTTGGACTTGGAACCGGATGACCTGAATTTTACTTTTTCTCTGCTCTGGGCCACATTTTCATCTTAATATTTCATGTTTTAAAGGCATAATGATATCACTGACTGGCTGATGAAATCACAAGCGTAGGTAGTATGCTACATGAGGAGCAAGTTTTTCGCTAGCACCACAAAAGTCTCTGGCCCAATGAGTGGAGTTTGACAGTAGTTCTTGTCACAAGTATAATGTTGTTGCATGCTAGTTTTGAGGAGAGATTAACACATTTGAAAAACAGTGGTTTTTTTCTGCGTTTGTCCATATTTCTTGCTCAGGCCTCTCGGGCATTACTTGTTCTTTCTGTTTTCACACCAACTTGGTGAGTTCTGCTATAAGATTCTAGAAAGATGGGTTGTGTGTGGTCCAAATTGGTTCATTTGTAACTGGAAAAAAATTTATAGTTTAAAAAATATGTTTTTAAAAAAAGCCATGATGAAACTTTCAATTAGCAATGACTTTGAAACATAGTACTATGATTGAGTTAATGGCTATCTTATTTAACACATGCTTATTTTTTAAGCAACTCTTTGGTAAAACTAACTATAGCTGGCATTCTCTGTCATAAAAGATAAAGCAGTTATAGCCTTCGATCAAGGAATTTAATATTTGGTAGTAGAGATATAAAATGTATGTGATCCAGGTAATACAAGATAGACCGATAAATTTTAAGAAAGGTATAATAAAGTATACAAAAATTCAGAATCTTACTTGCCCATAAATTAACTTGCTACTGTCTTAGTTCCATTTATTTTGTGCTCCAAGACCATGTTCATTTGAATGATTAATATAGAGATCCACTTTGCTTTTAATTGTTCATTTGTCCTTGGATTTTATTTCTTTAATTTTGGTATGTTTCTCCTCTCTTGTCCCTGACCCTGGTTCTCATCAGTGTTTGTTTTATTTTGCCATGAACAAGAATATTCTGTTTTCATTTTTTTTCACAGGCAATTGCAGTTGTTCATTTCTTCTTGGAATATTATCTTTAACACTCACCTTACCCACACTAATTACACCCTTACCTAGTGTTATCCAAAGGTAATTATCTTCTGATGTGTGCTTCAGTTTCCTCATCTATATATGGAGAAAATAGTAATATCTACCTCTAAGGCCTATCATGACAATAAATGAGTTAATACATGCAAAGCACCTGGAATAGTGCCTGGAACACAGCACTGTATAAATCTTAACCATTACTATAATTAAAACTTGAAGTACACAATTTTTATATGTATCCACATGCATTTATATATTTATACATGTGTATCATATATTTTTTCTTGATGTCTTTTAAGCATCAGTTTTCACTTCAAGCTTTTTCTGCCTTTTTCTTCCCCAGCCTCCTATGGGTAAAAAGGAAATAGACAATATTGCAGTGTTCAGTGGGCAGAGGTGGGTAGAGCGTAGCAGTTAAAAGAGCTGGCTATGGATATGGCCATATATGGATAACTAGATATACTGATACACTGAGATGTCCACTTATTAAACAGTAATCTTGGCCATGTTATATAATATTGGAGGTTTAGTTTCTTCATGTGTAAAATAAAGATAATGATTGTACATAATTTATGTGATTGTTGGAAGCGTTATATGAAATATTGCATGTAAAAGCTTATTTATGGATTTATTCACTGCCTGTTCTATGAACCTAGCAAGTAGAAGCTTTTAGCCAAATTCCTGGCACATATTTATGTCCTCAAGCATTATTTATCATCATCAACATTATTGCTGTTGTTATTTCTGCTAGTAGGACGATACTATGTTGTAGCACAATGTTTGGCATATTGTACCTGTGTGATAATATTTATTGAATTTAAACTGTTTGCCAATGTCAGTAGTGCATTCTACACCAGTAAATTCTCTACGTGTTAAGGCAAGCCTCCACACATCTTCAGACAGCATATCTTTACACTAAGGATGAAGGAGAGGCCCACATTTCTTGCCCGCAGGCCTGGGTTAACCATATAATTTAAAAGCTGTCAATATGTGATGCTCTATATTACCACAGATAAACTAGTGTTAAGCTTAACACAGATAAGCTATGAACTCTTTCTGCAAATAACCTGCTACTCTGGAATTCTTGTGGTATTAAATGACTCTTATTAGAAACCATGTGATTTATAAGTAGATATGGGCACATCTAATTTAGGAAATGTCTTCTCTTCCATTTATATTTACCACCCTAACCACAGATGGTCTTAAACCAAAGCTATCCCAGGGTGTTTGTTGCTTTTTCATTTCCTCCTTCCCTCCTTTGTTTTTCTTTTTTGCCTTTCCTCCTTTTTCCTCCCCTTCCCTTCTCTCCCTTCCCTTCCCTTCCCTTCCCTTCCTTTGCCTTCCCTTCCTTTCCCTTCTTTCTTTCCCTCTTTCCCCACTTTTATGTACGATACCTCCAAGACTTGAATTACTGTGCTCTGGCATGTATAGTTTTGCAGAGTGAGTATGATAGCTTTGTGACCAGGGAGTAGTTTAGCCAAATTTAGTAATCACTCAGAATGCATGCTATAATTTTGAAATATTTGAAATAATCCACTTTTATATAAGTATTTCTTTTTGCAGTTTCTTGAAGAACCAACAATTCCATACTCATATTTCTGTACTTTTTCTTTCCTGACTTCAAAAACTCTTTTATGAAGGTAAGAAGAAAAAAATGGGCTTAGGAAGAAAGGAAAAGAAGAAAAATAAACATTAAATTAGTAATTAAAATTAAGGTGTAAAGTCTTAGGTGATTTTATAAATTGTATGACTTATTCTTTATAATTACTCTTTTAAATGTAAGTAATTTGCTCAAAGTCACATAGCTGGTAGGTGGTATTACTGAGATTTGAGCCCAACTCCATTTGAATCTCATACTCATGCCACTTTTACTATCTCCTTTGCCTTTTGAACTGTTGCAAGGAGATACGAGGTCTTTAGCAACTGTGACTGGGAGCTAGTGAATAGCCAAGTGGAGGACTGGTCCTCCTTTACCTCTATTTTAACCAGAGCAGCTCCACTTATTTCTGTGTCATTCATTATGGTTTTTTGTGCGGGACTTTTTGTATAGGACTTTTTTATATACAGGATTTTTTTACTGTATTTTATTTTAAAGATTTTAAATAGACACATAATAATTGTACATATTTATGGGGTACATTGTGATATAGAATTTTTTAAAAAGAATTCTATTACTAGCATAAAATTTGAAAGTTTCTATGCCACACTATGCTAAAACTTCTGAGAATGCACTGCCAAATTATCACAGAACATAGCTTCTGAGGTTAATAATGAGGAAAGTGGAAAATCTGGAAGGTCAATTTGAAATTTGGTCATTCTGAGCTGAGGCAAAAATGTCATAAATTCCCAGATCTCCAGGCCTGAGTGGTGACAACATGTTTGTTAAGATTTTTTTTCAACTGAGGTATGAATTACTCAAGTAATAGAAAATCAGTATGTCCACCAAAGGATGAAAATTAAAGTTACCCTTTTCATATAAATTAGGTACAATAGGATGTGCCTTTGTCAATGGACTTATCCACAGACCATGGTGAAGCATGAGACACACTCATCATGTGTCAAAGTCTAGAAATAAAAAGCCTTCTTTCTCTCTCATATTCTTCATCAAATATATGTAACATTGGTTAAGGGATTGAAATCTCTTTCATTCAGAGAGATTGCAGAGAGCCATAATAAAAGAAAAGAATAAGACAACATGAGTCCAACAGAGCACGTGACACTGGCAATGCCAATGGATCCTTTCAAATCAGTGCTTTTTGAACTGCAAGATATGCTCAGTAGTGAGTTTCAATCAGCAGTAAAAAAGGAAATATAACAGAATAGAATATTTATTTCATCAAAATTTTTTCTCAGTTATATGTGTGAGAGAAAGACAGACAGAGACACACATTTTCAATGTAGTGTGTGTTTCTTACTTTGAATTATTGGAAAAGGATTTTAACACCATTGTCTTCAAAGGTTTAGACCTCAGCTCCCTTATGTGATGTAGGTATAATAACACAGCTCCTATTTACTTCATAGAGTTAATGTAAATATCAAACAACATTACTTATGTGAGGTTATTCAGGAAGCTTCAGCAAAGTACTTTAAAGTGTTGTTGAAAATAAGGATGAGTCATGTGTTTTACAAAATGAAATAACATCATTTTCTGTGGCTCATATTCACATAAATCTCTCTAGTAATGTATTTGAGGTCAGATTATTACATGAAATTCCTAAACAATTCAAAATTAAGTTCCTATTTTCTTTTTGCTACATCAAGTTAGATAAATATTTGGCATTATCTTTCTATTATTGCTGTTAATACTTAGATGAAAAGAATTGGATTGATAAAGTAGTATTTCATTTATAGCTTCTAGGAGACTTCTAAGAAGAATCAAATCGTGAGTTTGCCCTTCAGTTATTGCAAATAGGATTATTTCCACTCTGGTTTGGATTTTAAGCTACATCAGCATCTCAAATTACCAACTACTTTCCACACACTTGTACTTACACAGATCTTATATTGCCACCAGTCATGTCCTAAAGCAAATGATTTTACTTCTCATAGCCTGCCTTCCCTCTCCTTTCTGCAAACAAATAGGCAGACAAACAAATACTCCCCTTCTCAACCGGATAATTTCAATGGTTTTACTATTTAAACTCCTTGGCTAAGAAAACTGGAACTTTATTTCCCCCTGCTCTATTATTAACTCTCTCAATCCAATTTGTTGTCAAGTTTTGTATTTTGTTTAAAATGTCTCTTTTACTATCAATTATCTTTGATACCACCCTAGCCCCCTGATCACCTCATTGCCAGATTTTTAAAAAGTCTTTGTTTTACTCCACTCCATTTGGGCCATTTGAGCCTACATAAACTTTCCCAAAAACTTTTTTTTTTTCTTTTTTGAGACAGGGTCGCATTCTGTCACTGAGATTAGAGTGCAGTTGCAGTGGTGCATCACGGCTCTCTGCCACCTCTGCTTCCCAGGCTCAAGCGATTCTCCCACCTCAGCCTCCCGAGTAGCTGAGACCACAGGTACATGCCATTATGACCAGCATTAATTTTGTTTTGTTTTGTTTTGTTTTATAATTTGTTGATATGGGGCCTCCCTATATTGCCCAGTCTGATCTTGAACTCCTGGGCTCAAGTGATCCTCCCACCTCAACCTCCCTCCCAACCTCCCGAGTAGCTGGGAGCACAGGTGCGAAAGTGTTAAGAAAGAATGTGGAAAATTTTAAGAGCATAAGCCTTAGCTAAATCACCTCATTTCAGGTGATATGTTTGCTAAAGTTATTCTTATATATTGCATCACTGTGAAAGAAATCATAAATTTTTCTTCAGAAAATGAAAGCATTTTAGTTTTTCCCATTATTCTTATCATGACACACACACATTTTCAAAAGAAATATTAAAGTGAGAAATTGATGGGATAAAACAGTTATCCAGCTTTCTAGTGTCTTGTGCTATATAGTGAATTCTGCATGGCAGTTTTTTGTTGTTGTTGTTGTTTTGACCATCTGGTCCGTTTAAAAAGTCTAGATAAATTTCCATTTTCAGAGGCAAGTTTTGGAGGATCCTAGTTAATTCTGATTTATTTCTTGACACATCCTTGTATCCTGGGTTTATCATGTAGTACATTTACATGCAAGAGAAAACTTGTTCATCTGCTATTAATGTTCTTTGTTATTTTCAAGAATTTGTCCCTTTTTTCGGGGATCTGATTGTTAAAATGGTAGGTTCAGCAGGTCAGTTAACCGGGCTGCCTCTGATGAAGGCAACCTGGGAAGATACTGCCCTCTGTGGGGAGGGCCTGTGCCTACTCTGTCAGCCATATGGCTTTCTCAATAAGCTGCCTCCAGCAAAACTCAAGTTAACTTTAGGGAAATATTTGGATTTCCATACATCCAAGATGTCTTACTTTTCTTCTATATTCAGTACCATTTAGCTGCAAACTGCAGAGCAACATACTAATCAAGAATAATTCTGTCTAAGCTGCAGTGACAGAATTCTTAAAATTTCCACTCAAGAAACCTTAAATAAGAAACATTATAAATATTTTCTATCTAGGCAAATTTCATAATTCCTAAAAATTATCTCAACTAAACATTAAAGCCATGTCAACCAGAACAAAAAGAAAAATAGAAGAATAGAATGGAGATAAGGTCAAGTTTGAGAATCGCAATTTTTGGGGGGAAGCATTTGCTACGTAATAGGTATTATGTGATCCACTTTATCTATTTATTCATCACAAAAGCAGTATTAAGTAAGCATTAACCCCCATGTTACATTTTATCAGTAAAGGAACTGAAACCAGAGAGGTTAAGAAATTTGCCCAAGGTAACAGAACAGAGCCAGAATTAAACTTCGCTCTCTGACTTCCAGAGCCCAAACTCTTAAAGGTAATACAGTACTTCCTTTGATAAGACCTTATATCAAATTTAGATAGGAAATCTATGATCACCATATCCAAATAAGTTTATGTATAATGGCTTACCTGTGGTCCTGCAAAGACACTACTGAGGATCCAGGCCAGGCCAACCATGGACTGTCCGAGCTTGCTGCTGCTTTTCAAAGCTAGGGGCCTCGTGATAGCCAGGGAGCGGTCCAGGCTGATCACCACCATCATGAAAGCTGGGGCATACATGGAGAAAAGCTTTAGATAACTGAGAACTTTGCAGAGGAACTCTCCAGCATACCATTGGACTGTAATGTTCCACATCCCATCCAGTGGCATGACAATCAGAGTCTCCAACAGGTTGGCTAAGGTCAGATGTTTCAAGAGCAGCTTCATTCTTGACAGCTTTTTCCCTTTCTCTTTCTTCTGTGTCCACTTCTGAAGTTTCAACAGGAAAGAAGCATTAAAGGTCGCAGAGAGTAGAAAAAGGAAGAAAGTAACCGTCACTCGGATCTTTCCAGACAAGGTCAGAGTGGGGAGGTTGCCCTGCATCAGTGGGATGCTGTTGTTGATGACCGAACAGTGATTTTGATTCTGTTCAGGAGAGGCACTGTTTGCCATATTTTCCCAGGACAGAGCTTCAAGACTTGTGTCTGTGGCGCATCTGATATTTTATTGTAACCGAATCTAAAGTCCTGTTTTATTTCTACCTTCTTTAGATGGAAACGTCACAGGTTTAGACATATGTCAAATTTTGTCCCTGAGATACTTAATGAGAAAGATCAAGGTTAACTTGTTTTGTGTATTGGTAATCCAACAGAGGGCTAAAACAGAGCAGGCCAAATGCATTCTGAGGGCCACATGTAACTGTAGCACCTCAGCAGATGGCCTGGCTTTCATAACACTCTTCCTAAGTGAAGAAGGATACTCACAGCCTAATTTTGAATTTAAAAGACAGTCATGATATTATGATTTAAATAACTTTAAAATTTTTTTCTAAGAACTATTTAGCGTTAGTGTTCTGTCCAATATACAGATGTAGAATGATAATGAAGAAAAATGCAAACAACTTGATCCAATTAAAATCCATTGTCTTAAAAACACATTTCTCAAAAACATTTCTTGGTTTTCCTTTTCAAACACACTGTTGAGCACTCCAACACTGGACAAATACACTCATTTAAAATTATTCTATGACAAATTAAAACTTTACATTAGAATCAATCCAATTGGCTGCATTCAAATTTATTAATCAATCTTACTGCTCAGATCCATGCTTAAGTTAGAGTAAAACGGTTAATCAGTTTTTAAATTATTGCCTTGGTTTTTATAATTATCTAAATATTGTACTTGCTGTTCTTACACATTAATGCATAGGGGAACTAGCTATTGAAGAGAAGACTGTGTAACTGCTGTAAGTGCATTTATATGTGTTTATATTAGTGTAATATGAATATGTTCCTTTATAGGTTATCTGATCATTTCAAATTGGGACCACTTAGGAACTTTTTCTGTGTTGCTTTTTTAACTTTCATGGTGAGTGCTGGACAGTTATTTATTAATACTTGTAAGACTTACATTGGAATTTATTATATCACCAGCTTGATTTGTCTAATGCCAACAAGTTTGCTTCTGCGGCAGCCAAAGCAGGTACAATGTTAAGGATAAAAGTGACTATTTTGACTTAGATGGTGCATTCTTATTGGTTCATTTATTATATTTGTTTATTCTGTCTTAAATATTTATTTATTTAATAAATAGTTACTAAATATTTGCTATATACATTATCTTAGCCTTTGCTGGTGATAAAAAGTGAACACAACATCATCCAGCCCCTTTAAAGAGCTTGTTACCACAGAAGGTTAGATAAGTGTTTTAGACATATCTTACGTATCTCCTCAGCTTCCCTGTGTACTGGCTGTCTCCTGAACCTTGAGCAGCTTAGACCAGTCCTGTACCTGAGCTCCTTTTTGACTGTCACTATATGTCCAGAATTACCAGCTTCTCTCACTACTTCCAGGCTTGAAATATTTATATCCTCTATTTATACAGCATATGAAAGAAAGAGATTTTCTCACACCTGAGATTTGTGACCATAAAATTTTTACCTATGTCAAAACTAAGTTCTGACTCATCTAGGAGAATTACAAAAAAACAAATTGTGCGTACTACGTTAGTTATAATAAGTTCCTTATAACCAGTCTTGACTAAGATAATTTATTTTTCTGAAGAACTCAAAAGGCTTTGCATATACATCATGTCAGTTAATCTGATCAGGGCCACATGCCTGAAATGAACAAAACAGAGTAACCATTGGAAAGACATACGAATATGAAAAGTTTTTGTAAGCGAACCAGCAACCAAAAGAACAAAGGAAAGAACATTCATGTAAAAATTCGATTTTAGTGAAGTATATTTTGCTCTTTGTCTTGTATATCTAGGGGAGAAAGATTAGAGCATAAAAGCTTCATTATTTGTCCCTTTCCCTCCCATTCCTTCCCCTCCCCTTCCCTTCCCCTTCCTTCCCCTCCCCTTCCCTTCCCCTTCCTTCCCTTTTCCTCCTTTTCTTCCTGTCTTCCTCCCTCCCTTTCTTTGTTAGTGATGGACTGATTGAATAGGGAAGAGGCTGCAATGGAGCTGAATGGGTCTACAGCATATAGGGTAATAAGTGACTGGGGAATGGGGTATGAGGACAGGGAGGGCATGCTTAGAAGCTGGAGCAGCACACTTAAATATGAAGATAATGTGAGAAAGTTCAAAGGCTATGTGAGAGCAAAAGTGTAGATAATGAGGCAGTCTTCAAATCTGGAGAGCCCATATTCCAAGAAAAAGAGTTTAGGCTTTACCTATATAAAGAATGGAGTAATATAGGGTAGGTATGGCCAGATTTATGCTTCACAAAGCTTACTGTGTAGCATACAGAGAATGCCTTGAAGGGATTTGGTGAATAGTGGGCAATCGAAATTCAGGTGACTTAGTCTATTTGGAAAACCCTTGCTAACTACACAACATGAAAGGTATAAAGCCCTAAAGTGCAGGGTGTGGCTATGAAAGTTGGTAGAGGAAGTAGAGGGTGAATGATGTTTGACACATTTGAGGAGCTCTAAGTTGTTGAATCTAAGTTGTTGGATGAGTCAACTACATAGATTTTGAAGGTGTTGTCCATACTGATACTACTACTAATAGTTAATATTTATTGGGTACTTACTCTGTGTCAGGCACTTTTCTAAGCATGTTACACATATTAACACATTTAGACTTTACCACAACCCTAGAAGTCAGTACTATTATTTTCATTTTATGGTTAAGGAAAGTGAAGCAGAGAGGTTTACATACCTGATCCATATTAGAGTTTGTCATGGGGGAGCGGTGGCTATCTAGGCCGGTGGTGCAGGGGCAAAAGAGTTTACCGTTGTAGGCAAAAGAAAGGCAAATTTGCTAGAGAAAGTAGGAAAATATGTTGCCAGGGAGACAATGGGCAGGATCAGTGGAAGGGAAGCTGACTTCAAAGAAACAAGGGCTTGCTGGAGATTTTATAGGATGGTGTTTATGCTGTATGCTGAAGAGGGCTTTGTGCAGTACTGATAATGCCAAGGTTACAGTGCGCTAACTTGCAGGTGTCTGGTGATAGTTGGGCACAGGAAGATTGAGAGTTATTTGTGCAGGAGGGCTATGTGTCTTTGTAGCTTATCTGCTTTTTCTTTTTGCTTTCCCCTGCTCCCACTAGCCTGACTCCTTTTCCCTAATTAGGATACCACAGAATTGTACTTACGTCTCATGCAGTCTGCCTTCAGAGCTCCTGTCTTTAACTACCATGTAATGCTACCTTTCTGGTAGCAGTTGGGGTGGAAAGGTCTATGACCCAGGTGCCATAGTCCTTAGCAAATGAAGGGCCATGTGAACAGGCCCTTTTGGTTGCAAGAAAGGGAGACTGTCTTAGATAATGAAGGTCTCTTTCATGATACACAAGACCTAGAAAGCCAACAGAAGCCCAGGCAGCTCTAAGGATGAGCAACTCTTGCTGATTATCACCTGAGTTGATTTTCAATTATAGTAACTTTTTTTTCTTCATATTATTTTTCCCATCATCTTCTTGAAACTAACTAGCCAGTTTTTTGTTTGTTTGTTTGTTGTTTTATTAAAAGTCCAACTTCTGAAGGGAAAGAGTGATGATAGTTTAGAAGTCACCCAGGGAGCAAGAAATATTTTTCATACCTTTACTCATGAGAATGAAATAATAGAGGAAGGCAGCTCTTTCAAATAAGAAGAATGGGCATGAAAATGTGTTTGGGAACAAAATTTTGTTTTCGGTAAGGAGAGAAGATGGAAGTAGCACAATATCAGAAAAAAAAGAATGTTTTTTTTTTTTTAGTTCTTGAAAACATGACTTACTTTATTGAGCCAAGAATGATAGTGTCTATGACAACTGTGAAATGAGTAAAAGGGGAACTTTTAAAATTTAAGTTTAAATGGAAGCATTTGAGGAAGGACTGTGGATGAAGTAGTATGAGGAAATATTTACACAAAATTGCTGTGAAGGAGAGCAACAAATTCTAAAAGTCATACAAATTTTTCTAAATTATGCACAGCATTTAACATGGCAGATTCACTTTCATTATTCCAAGAGTGCATATTATTTGGAGAATCACTGTAAAACATTGTTGCAATTTTTATTTCAGTATAGATGTGTTACAGGTAAATGATGGGAAATTATGGTTGAAAATTTATGTGAGATTTTGGAGAACAGATTAAGGAAATGCATATATAATATGAATCATCAACATATGAAATGAACAAAAAAGCAGGAGCATAATAAGTATGTTTATTTTTCAAAATGTATATTCACTAAATACTAAAAGTAGTAATCTTTTACTTTTAAGTGTAATTAGAAATATATAAAAAGACTTAAACCAGCAATGTAAGAATTATATTTATTTCAACAATTCAATTAACCATCTATTAAGCATAATGTACTACACACTGTACTTTTGGATACCAAAAATAAGGCTAGCCAAAGCTCATATTTGATATTTCCAAACATATTTTATAATTATATTGTATTTTTATAAGATTTTATTTATTTTATTTATTTATTTTTGAGATGGAGTCTTGCTCTGTCACCTAGGCTGGAGTGCAGTGGCATGATCTTGGCTCACTACAACCTCTGCCTCCTGGGTTCAAGCGATTCTTCTGCCTCAGCATCCCAAGTAGCTGGGACTATAGGTGCACGCCACTATGTGTGGCTAATTTTTGTATTTTTAGTAGAGACGGGGTTTCATCATATTTCCCAGGCTGGTCTCGAACTCCTGACCTTGTGATCCACCCGCCATGGCCTCCCAAAGTGCTGGGATTACAGGCATGAGCCACCGCGCCTGGCCAAGATATTTTTATTTACATAAACTTTATGTAGTTTGCTTATAGTAAAAAGAGTATACTTTTAATTTTGTTCTTTTGCCGATAATCTGTTGGTACACAGCATTTCTATTTCATGATGCAATTCAATTTTCAAATACAACATATCTTAATTCCACCTTGTTCAGAATTGGAAATTTGAAAGCTAGATCCCCAATAGTTATATTAATTAAGAATTTATGCCAGGTGCAGTGGTTCACGCCTGTAATCCCAGCACTTTGCGAGGCCAAGGCTGGTGGATCACGAGGTC